TGTTTACACTAAACACAGTTTCCAGCTTTCATCACCGACTTTCAGTGAGAGCAACAGTGTCTGCATGTTCCAACTAGTGAGTGTACATATTACATTGCTGCTGTTAAACCAAACTTTGTATCTTCATGTTTATTTTTCAGTTTTGAACATAATTTAAGAACGCTTAATACCCTTTACATTATGTGTAAGTTTCATGATGAATGGACCTAAAAATGGCCCAAAAGTACTTGGAAAAAAGTCTGATACCACTGACTTACATTAAAAAGTGAAGTATGTTTTTTCCTTCTCCTGTAAAGTTAGCATTTTGGAGATGTGAGGTTTTCCTCAGACAACAGTGATATATATATAAATAACCATGCATATCCAAAATGGTTCTATGGAAACGTACATTTTTGTGTCCCTAGCCTTAGGGTTACAATTTATTTATATTTTAAAATAAAACAATACATTATTTTAACAATTACACCTTCTTGAGACATCGATTTAGCAATATTGGTTTTTAAATCAATTATATAGAATTCCAAGCACCACAAAAGAGCTCGTCCTCACAGTCATGTGTAAAGGATGAGCACCATATTTTGAGGCAAAAAACATGTTTTTCTGCAATTTTAACTGCAATAATCTATACATGACTATGAAATATATGATATGAAGAAAATAAATGCCAAATACATATTATAAAATATATAATGAAAGTTGTGGTCCCCAGGAGTCGTGTCACTGATGTTACTGCATAACAAAAAATCTCTTTTGAAATAAAAATCACGCTGATGACATCACTTGACTTCCTTTTACCTATTTTCTGAAGATCTATGAAGAAAAGCACATGGTGAGTCCACTGTGTCTATTTCAGTTTCTCAGAAATTTTCTCATTTAGCTCCTGATTTCATATGAAGCTTTTAGCTGACATCACTGGTGTGACCTACTTCATTATGTAAGTAATAGAAAAAATAGAATCCAAATGGATTAAATTACATATTTTAGTGGATATTCCATAACAGACAACATGTGGTTTGCTGCTCTGTAGCAGCCATTTTATAAAAAGGCATTTTTTATTAAAAATGTCACTGGTGTTACCTTTTCTTATGTGTAACACCAGTGACCATCAGTAACACCAGTGACCCCTATGGAAAGATAAAAAAGTGGACGCTTCTATAGAATGAGCCCGTTTACAAGAGAGGGCAAAAACATACTTTACTTTCAATGTAAGTTAATGTTAAAAGACTATATTCAAAGCAGTTCTGGAGCATTTCTATTGCTCCAATCATGGAATTTTCACACATTTCAAAGGATACCTGCTGAGCTCAAATTATGCAGAAAACCAAAAATCTTCAAATGTACTGCAGCTATCACATCGCACTAACATAATACCATGCCATTTGGCAATAAGCAGTATTACTAGTGTAAATCAGACGAAATTCTTATGAAGCAAATAAAAAACTTTGCTACATTAAAAATGACAACAAAATGGCTCACAAGTTGACTGTATCTGACTCTCAGTGTAAGCAAAATTATTTTACACCATGTCTCAGCCAATCAGCCTTTAGAACCAGACCTACACTGTCCAGAGTAGCTTGCTAAAGGTGCTTAGGGTATCGCATTAAAAGATGGATTCTATCATCGTGACATACAGCACACTGCAGCTGCTACTACGCAAAACAGGAAAATATGCTAACGCCGCTGGAAAAAATGTGTGCTCTGAATAATGATTGACACATGTTAATTTTGTAAGCACTAGTTAATGTATTTATATATAAAATAATATATCGTAAATAAAATGTGACATTATTTACATTAAATGAAATCTAAGCATGTATGTTCCTGTTTGTTAGTCCACTGTTATAATATTGTGCTCCTCAACAAAAAATTTGGTGTTTTGCTTTTATTTTCATTTTTCCAGCATCATTTGCACAATCAAATATATATTAAAATTGCTGGTTAAACAAAACATTTTATGTAAGGATGAGTTCTCAAACGTAAACATTTGGATGGGAAGTATCAATCAGCAGGCATCACATTCCTCTTTTCAGCTTTGTCTTCTCTCATGTGAGCACCACAATAAATCGGAGCTCACGTGAGGAAGACTACAGTCTGCTTACTCACAGCACCACTGAAAACACAGGGCCCTAAGAACATTTCCTCTCTCTAGCCCTGCAGCTTGAAATGGGTGCTCAACGCAGTAGACGAGAGTGACACGGGGGAGCGATATTTAATAACTTAATAGAATGAGTGAATAACATTGCCGTAGCCGAAGCCCCAGCGTGCGCTCGCCGGGGCAACGGCTGCAGCTGCAAATAATCGGCTTCAGCTCAGTGGCTGTGCTAATAATCCTCTGGTATAATCTTCAATTAGAACAGCCGCTGAAATTTGTGACAGGAGGAAACCCCCCCCCCTCGTAGCTTTATGAATTACGACGCCCGCAGTGGACTGCGCTCCAAATCGTCTAATGGCAGGTGAGAAAAGGTAGCAAGTCTAAAGTGGATTTTGTGGTTAAGGCAGAATTCATTTCTATTTTTTTTCTCTAATGGGAAAATAAAGTGTAGAGGCAACCTTTTCAAAATGTTTCCATGCAAAAGTAGCCACTCTTTACTAGTCTGTTTTCAGACTAAAGGACATATAGAACACTTTACATTAATTTTTTTTTTTTACTTTTTTTGCATAACATTGTTTGATGAAGTTTGTTAATATTGTAAGTTTCAAAACTAACTACACAAAACATTACATGTAGATGAGCCTTATGACATCCCATTCTAAATCCATAGGCATTAATATAGAGTTGGTCCCTCCTTTGCAGCTATAACAGCTTCCACTCTTCTCAGAAGCTTTCTACAAGATTTTGAAGTGTGTCTGTGAATTTTTGCTCATTTCTCCTGAAGAGCATTTGTGGGGTCAGACACTGATGTTGGATGAGAAGGCCTGGCTCACAATCTCTGTTCTAGTTCATCCCAAAGGTGTTCCATGGGGTTGAGGTCAGGGGTCTGTGAGGGCCAATCAAGTTCTTCCACATCAAACTCACCCAGACACACCTTTATGGACCTTGCTTTGTACACTGAGGCTCAGTCATGCTGAAACAGAAAAGGGTCTTCCCCAAACTGTTCCCATGAAATTGGAAGCATAGAATTGTCCAAAATTTCTTGGTCTAAAAAGCATTATGATTTCCTTTCACTGGAACTAAGGGTTCTAGGCCAACCCCTGAAAAACAACCCCAAAGCATTATCCCTCCTCCACCAAGCTTTACAGTTGGCACAATGCAGTCAGGCAGGCAATGTTCTCCTGGCATTCGCCAAACCGAGACCAGACTGCCAGATAAAGAAGCGTGATTCATTACTCCACAGAATGCATTTCTAATGCTCCACAGTCCAGCGGTGGCATGCTTTGCACCTTTGTGGCTAAACTGTTGTTTTATTCTAGATGCTTCCATTTCACAATAATAGCACTTACAGTTGTCTGGGGCAGATCTAGCAGGGCAGAAATTTCACAAACTCACTTGCGGCAGAGGTGGCATCCTATGACTGTGCCAAGTCACTGAGCTTATCAGTGCGATTCATTCTACTGCCAGTGTTTGTCTATCGAGACTGCAAGGCAATGTGCTTAGTTTTACCTGTTAGTAATGATTGTGGCGGAAACACCTGAACTCAATAATTAGGAGGGGTGTCCCAATACTTTTGTCCATATAGTATATTCACTTGCTCCCCAGTCTATATATGCAAACTAAACTTTTAAAATTCATCATGGTTGTGAGGTCACAATCATGAATGTTGAAAAATGAAAGCATAGTACATGACTGATAAATGATAATAATAAAGTATTTGTAAGTACATAACACATATTCTATTCAAGGATGTGTTACCTTATTTTCACAAATCAACAAAACATGTAATTTGACCGGGTGTGTTCAAACTTTTGCATCTGTATATATGTGTAGAGATGTAATTTGGTGCCTGCTAAATTACACCTATATTAGCCTAAATCTAGATTTTTTTGGTAGTGAAAAAATGAAAAAAAAAATGATTTAGTTGTCAACAGGCAGGTTCTAGAAGGTGACATAAAATACATAAAGTAATAAGGGGTAAAACCAGATTACTCCCTAGGCCCCGCCTATTTTTGTTGAAGTGACGAAGTGTGTTGTTCCTGCTCTGCAGGCAGTCTATAGCAGAGTTATTGGTGTAGATTTTGTAGGTAAACAATTAAATGTTGTGCTGTTCATGGTTGTCGGCAAGCTAATGCCTTCCAACAAGTCCACACAGAGGCTGAAGTTTAGTTGTGAGGATTTCAGTCAGAATGTGACAGTTTGTTTCACATCTCAGCCTGAAATAAATATCAGTAAGAGTAACAAAAAACGCCTGTTTAATCCTAAAGGATAAAGCCAAGTTGGAAAATGGCCATTTAAAAGTGAATTACAACTGTTCTGGTGCATAAAAACTACAAAAACATTATAAATGGAAAGGAAACATAAAATACAAGACAAATGTAGGATAACAATTTAAAACTACCCAGTGATACCCAGAAGTAATATATCACCATTAGTCAGAACAGGGATGCTTGGTTTTTAACATGAAATATCTTTGTGTTTTTCCCCCAGTGTACTCACAGCTGAATTCCGCCACTGAGGGTCACCACATCATCCGTCAATGTCAGTTATGCGCTGTAACCTATTTCTGTGCAATGCGACGCTACGTCTCCTGAATGTTATCAATGCTGGCAGTGCTTCACACAGGCCACGGTCCAACCATCGCAGTGGCACGGCCAAATGAGCCACCAATTAGGCCCGTCGAGTTTCAACAAATAGTTTGATCAAAAACGTTAGCGTGGTTGACAATGAATGAAAGCCAGCAGCCGCTAATTAGCATGATCTCATTTACATTACTCTCAGGCCGTTACACTTTATTCATTATTAGCAACAGGAGCATATTTGGCTCGCCTGCTTCTTCGACATCCTCCTGAGCGCCCCGCGGGTGACCGCTGACCCCTACGTCTGTCGTGCTTTCTTTTACTCACAGATGGCCGCATTTATGAGGGAGAGTTCCTGGACATCACGGATATCAAACGACATCAGGCCGAAGAGTTTGAATGCATCACCAACAACGGTGTGGCCCCACCGGACACACGTCGTGTCAAGGTCACAGTTAACTGTGAGTCTGGTCACACACACCCTCTTTCACCCACATGCATGTGCTCTAGCATTTTAATAAGTGACTCTTTTCATCATGAGGTCCTACAGCTGAAGAACAACCTCTTTAAGCAGGCAGCAGGCATTCTCTCATATTCAAAAGCACATTAACTGAGATAAAGCAGCTCACTTTTGGAAAAAATAACATGAGTAGATGATCAAATGAGCCCAGAGTGTGCCCTACATACAAAGTTCAGTCAGTCATGTCGTTTAAAAGAATAGTTTGGTGGAAAAAATCTATTTTACACAATGTCCCATTACTCTAAATGTATTACCGAAGACACATCCAGTGTCCAAAGTTAGTTTTGTTGCAGAGCTAATCTGAAACAGCTTTTCTTATGTGGTTTCTTGCACTGTGTGAGACACAGTGTGCAAAATTCAAGATAGCCGCTACTACTGTTAGCATAGATACAGATAATATATAGACAGATACATAAATGTAGATAACAGTATTTCATAGAGTGCTATATATGGCAGAGACCACATATGTATGTATGCATATGTTAGAGATTACTTAACAACTCGACATGGTTTCAGGCATATGTGTGATGATTTAAGACCCTAGGACATAAGGCAGTGAGGACAGAGAAACCTGGGAACATAGGGCCCTGAAAGCTGAGGACTTCTAGTCAAGTCAAGTCAAGTCAAGTCAAATTTATTTATATAGCGCCTTTTACAACAGATGTTGTCACAAAGCAGCTTTACAAAGAATCCGGGTCCAAGCCCCCAGTGAGCAAGCCTTGGCGACAGTGGCAAGGAAAAACTCCCTCAAAAGGAGGAAGAAACCTTGAGAGGAACCAGACTCAAAAGGGGAACCTATCCTACTCTGGTCGACACTGGATAAGAGGACAGACACAAAACAGTATAGTGGATACAGTTTAACACCACTGTGCAGTGCACCGGCCGCATCTCAGGTCAGACCCTCTTAGGACAGGCAGCCGCTCAGCTCAGGGAAAGAGAGGGGGAGGGGGAAGTAGAGGGGAGGGGGGATGAGAGGGACATAGTTAGAAAAACAAATTAACCAAAAGCTCGACTAAACAGGTAAGTTTTTAGCCTAGACTCTAGGAACATAGGGCCCTAGAAACATAGAACCCTGAGAATATAGGGCCCTGAGAGGTATCTGGGAATATAAGACCCTGAGAACATATAACCCTGGGAATATAAGACCCTGAGAACATATAACCCTGGGAATATAAGACCCTGAACATAGAGTCCTGGGAATATAGGGACCTGAGAACACAGAACTTTGGGAACAAAAGACCCTAGGAACATAGGGCCCTAGGAACATTGACCCCTGGGAACATAGGGCCCTGAACATATGGCCATGGGAATATAGGGCCTTGAGAACATGGGAACATAGGGCCCTGGGAAGGTAGAACCCTGGCAAAGTAGGGCCCTGAGAAAATAGAATCCTGGGAACATAAGGCCCTGAAAACATAGGACTTTGGTAACCTAAGACCTTAGGAACATAGGGCCCTGGAAACATAGAACCCTGGGAATATAGGGCCCTGAGAACATAGGACTTTTGGAACACAAGACATTGGGAAAATAGGGCCCTGAGAAGATAGAACCCTGAGAACATAGGACCCTGAGAACATAGGGATGACCCCAGAATGTGAAACTAAAGAAGCAGTTTCTGACTCCAAACATGTTATGGCTGGTCGACAACATTTGTGATAGAAATAAAAATAACACAAATGATCTTTTACCTCAAATGTAGTCGAGTACAAAAAACACTGCGAATTTGCATAAAACTGAGAGGGGACTTGTGTAAATTTGAATTTTTGAACCATTGTGTGGGACACTAATCCACCTCTTCCTCCAGATCCACCAGTAATTACAGACGTGAAGAATATGCCAGCTCAATTGGGGAAGTCGGCCATCTTGCGTTGTGAAGCCATGGCTGTACCTACTGCAGTCTTTGAGTGGTACCGGGATGACCGGAGGTAAGTGGCTTGGCCAGCACATGAACCCAGGAGTGAAAAAAACTCATTGACTTTTCATAAAAAAGTCTCAGATGTTACCTTTTTCTGTCGGGGATCAGAGGACTTTTACTTTCTTTTAAAAGATCCAAGTCCAGAGCTAGCTGCTCTGGGGTTAATTCCCAATTCAGCTAGATTTTCACTGCAGGGGGCCGCACCGAGGTGGAATTCCAAAGCACTGTAGCATTTATTGGCAGTTACACAGTTTTTCCCCACAGCTTGGCTGATTGACTATCTTTGGGGTTTCACGTTTGGTTCTTTAAGAGCTATAAGGCTAATGTTGCTAACAATTAACTATTAATAGAAGCTTGTATCTCTTAAAATTTTAATAGAGAAAAGAGGGGGGGCGAGCTGTGGGATGGCTAAGGCCAAAAGATAAAAGGGGAAGGACACTCAAGTACTGATACTTGTACAGACTATACTCTGCATGTAGCAAGAAGGTAGAAGAGCTACCTTAATTTCCAAAATTTCCCAACAAAGTCCGTGCCTTGAGCTCTGAATCCATTAAATATTCCTGTTTATTTGGTCAATTTGAGTGTAATAGTTAACCAGTCTACTTATAAGTTTAAAGAGTTTTGTGGAGGACCATATCTGGCATCTGGTTCATTTCTTTTGTCTTCTTTCTTTAAACTCTCAGTGGGAATTTGGCGAGAGTACGGGGCACAGTGAAGACAGTGGTAGACAATGAAGTGTGCACTGACTCACATATGAAAGCTGGTTATTTATGTGGTCTCCGGCAGGCCGGTGGAGAGTGACAACACGCTGAAGATTAAAAATGAGAAGACGCGCTCCCTGCTGCTCTTCACCAACGTCACGGAGAAACACTTCGGCAACTACACCTGCTTCGCCTCCAACCGCCTGGGGGCCTCCAACGCCAGCATGCTGCTCCTCAGTGAGTACACACACTCACCCTCACCTAGAACTCGCTCACTGGGCACCTTGCTGTCATATACTGGCAATCAAAAGTTTGGGGTCACCTAGCTTTTTGAAATGTGTTTAACTTTTTAAGGTCGTACGCGACATCAAAGGACGTCGTAGATAAAAGAATAAATATTTTGTTAACGCTGCATACTAGAGACGTACTTTCAATTTGCCCAGAAGAGTAGTGTTGTCCTGGCGACAAGTGTCTGATTGGTCAACAGACCCGACCCAAGGCAGCGTGCGGCCCTGCTAACAGCTAACAGCCCTACTAACAACAACAATAACTCTTTTCAACCTGAAGAAATGGATAAATAATCACAGAAGATATGCAGCATTGGATTCATCATTAGGAATTTGTTTTTAAAAGTCTCCAAAAAGACTTGCTGGATTACAAAGCTGGTGAGAGGGGTACGATCACACCGGAGGCCTCATTGAAACAGCAAAATATTAGCCTTCTGGGAAGAAATGAAAGTAGGTCTGTAGCACGCAGCATTCCCAAGATGTTTAGTCTTTTATGTATGACGTCCTTTGATGCTGCAGACGACATTGTCGACCTCAGAGGGTTAATACAAACGTGCATGTTTTCTTTGTGACTTGAAAGCTGTTCAGACCCTGCTATTTTTCTTTTCTAAGACTGCAACTTCATCAGCACTCAAATGTTTCAGGTGATTAGACCATGCTAAGCCAAAAGAGGTCCAAGGGTTTTAACAAAATTTGGAAAAGAAAACTGTTAAATCGTTATTCAAGTTCTGACAACGTCTTCAACATACTGGAGACTGTGTGACTGTAAAAGGGGAGACAACTCTGGCGGCTGGCCTAGAGTCCCAAAGAATGAATGCAGTTTCCACTTTTAATTGCTGATGTCCAGGGAGAGCAACAGTAGGTGCATGTTGTAACCCAGGGGTCGCAACCCGAATGTTAAGAAGAGTCATTTTGTCCTTTCAACAAAAATCAAACCACCTTGAGAGCAAGATTTTCCATCCATTTTAACATCTTGGCTGTAAATATATCTCAGTATATGCTAATGTACTAGCATGAGCTAAAAATATAAAATAAACAAAAAGACACACTTACTTTGCTCTGCTTTAAGCTTTAGCTCAGTCATAGCCACTTTTCTCGCATCTTTGGCAGGAAACTTTTCCTCAAAAGTAGAACAGTTTCTTGTAAAATGTCTCTCAACATTGGATTTTTGTACGAGGCTGAAGTCGCTTCTCATTCGCCAGCTTTTTGTTCGAATTTTCTCGCTCCACCTTAAATGGTGCCGGAGGCAGCAGAATGTAACTGCGGTACCATTTAAGGTGGAACAGGACAATTTGAACAAGAATCTGACTTCAGCTTCGTGACCTTTTAGTGTTTGTCAGTTTCTCATTGTGGATTAAACATATCAGGAAACCAGCTGGAGTGATTATAAATGCAAATAAGTCCGTTCGTCTCTAAATCATTGATGTTCGTCTTAAATCTCTCTCCTTGCCTTTTTGTTAACTACTAGCTAGGTGAGACTATGGTGACCAGCAGTCTGCATGCCAATTTTCAGAATTGAATTAGCAGTTATACATTAACTCCAGCATTTAAGACCATTTATTGTTAAAACTGTGTTAGAACAATCAGCAGAGCTTAATTTTACTGCAAAGTATGATTATTTTATTTTTACCGAAAATCTAATTCTGCTGTAGAGGCGCAACAGGGCAGTAAAAGAGCTGCATGTTGCTGACCCCTGGTCTAACCAATGAGATTATTTGTGCCACGTGTCAAGTATTAATGCTGCAAAAAAAATATGAATATGTTCTTGTGCAAATTGCACTGGGTCTCGTTATGAAGATATTGCCATAGGTTGGGAAGATTTCACACAAGTAGCTATCATGGTGAAGATGAAAGACAGATATTTCAACAAGACCACAACTCCAAACATACAGCAAAAAGAATATAAACAAAAACACAGACTTACTTTGCTCTGCTGTAGCTGCTTTTCTCGCATCTCCAACAGGAAACTTTTCCTCAAAAGTAGAACAGTTTCTTGTAAAATGTCCCTCAACATTCGACTTGATTCCCATTGAAAATGTATGAAGGACTTCGAGAGTAGGAACAGAGGGACCAGCTCAGATGTGTGCTTTAACCTTGAGGAACTGAATATGGTTTGTCAAGAGGAATAGACCAAAATTTAACTACAGTGCTGCAAAACATACTTTAGACATCTCAAAGCTGTAATTGCCAACAATGGCTTTACAATACAGTACTAACCTTATTCATCTGTGCTGTGTGAATATTTTTCCTTCTCCATTTTGTGTTTCATGACATTATGTGTGTAAATTTGCAGTGCAGATATGCTCCCCTCACTGTACGTGCATCGTGTTGACAAAATATTTTTTCTTACTTAATTGAAAAGTAACTTTACTTGAGAATTTGCTCCAGACTGTCAACGGCCAGAGTGCACTCTCAAATGCAAAAATCCCTTCAGGCACATTGTCAAGAGCCCACAAATACCTTCTTGGAACAAGGACCACCGCATGTCTTTGTATTTTAAGTGCTCTTTCCTTCCTCAGTAAGACTTATTTGTTCATACAAACGTCACACAAAGGCACAGAAGACCTTAATATCACTTCCAGCACCGCTTGCATTACATGAAATGCAGAAAGGCCTCTGTTTTTTTCTCCTCAGGTACTTGTCACTTTTCCGCCTTTCTTCTTTTTCTAACCCGGCTCAGCGCTCCAGAGCCTCTGCATTCCTTTTACCCGTTTATTTCCCTCAATCCCTCCATTCTCTGGGCCATTATGCTCTCGCTCGTTTATCGTCCACCCATTCTGGCTCTTTGTTCTGTCCTGGTACCCCAGGAAGCTGTCATTTTTCTCCTTTCTCCCTCTGTCTCGCTCTCTCTCTATCCCTCTCTCTCTTCGTCTCATTCCGTTCCTCACATTACCGTCCCCAGTGAGTGATTTCGTCTGCCGCCGGTCCCCCTCTCCTCCCTCCACTCCCTCTATCCCTCGCTCCTGCCACACTACTGCACATTACCATCGTAAGTGAGCCCTCCATCTCTCTCTCTCTTTTTTCTCTCTCTCTCACTCTCTCTCCTATTATCTCCACGAGTCTCACCTCGGTGAGTCACTCGCTGTCAGTCTCATACATCTTTTGGCTGATTCGTGCCGTCGCCTCCCGCCTTCGGCCTCTGCCTCTTATCTCCTCATCAGCGGTCCTTCTTTCTTTATCACCTCCCTCCCATCTTTAGAGAAATAAAAGACAAAAAAACACAATCCACCTCCGCCGATACTTGGACAACAACAAAAATAATGCTGTAAATGTTTCCTGGATGATCAGATGACGTAAACCATCTGTGTTCTTTCTCCTGCAATAGTCCAAGGGTGCGTTCAGTCTGTCCTCATAAATTTCCAAGTTTTTCCAAAGAAAGCACTCAAACGGCTACCAAAGTCGTAAATATAAGAGGTAAACTCAAGCAAGTTCCATGTCACCAGAGTTCATGGGATGTGACATCACCAGCCAGAGCTTTCTTTGAATACACAGTAGCTTCGGTTAGCAGTTCACTTCAGTTAGCTGGCATGACAGTAGCTTGCTCACCTCGCTCTCCTCACCATTCAGGCACATGTTAACTGCCTCTGTAGTGGGTGTGTGTGGAGATGGAGACGACAGAGCAGGATTCATTGAAAGATTTTCTTTGTGTAACTTAAGTGTGACTGTGCTACCTCTAGGTGATGTCATAAGGAAACTTTCATAGCCATGCTGATGACACCCAGTTATACATTCCCATTCCTTCTGTTGATCAAGACTCTGTGGACAGACTGACCAGCTGTGTCAGATATTTCTTAGCGGATGTCGCAAAATTTTCTACAATTAAATCACGAAGAAAAAATACTGATTGTTGGTACAAAAAGCCGCTTCATGAGAAGCTCACTTCTTTAGCTTCAGATACTAAACCTGAAGTACGAAACCTGGGTGTGATCTTAGTGCTCTGTTTTACCCATGTAAACACAGTCACTAAAGTAGCTTTTTTATCATTTGAGAAATAGGGCCTTTTCTATCTCACAGCGACGCAGAGAAACTTGTACATGCGTTTGTAATAAGCAGAGTTGATCACTGTAATAATCTTCTTACTGGGCTGCCTAAGAAAAGAATACATCCTTTACAACTCATACAAAATGCGGCAGCGCGCATCCTGACAACAATAAAACAGAGATTATATCACTCCAGTTTTAAAAGCACTGCACTGGCTGCCTGTTTCATTCAGGATAGATGTTAAAATTCTGCTTCTAGTTTGACCTTAAAGCACCATTTACATCACAGAATGTCTGTCTGTTTATGTTCCCGCATGTAATCTAAGATCTGCAGATATTGATCTTCTGCAAACACAGAAAACATGGAGAGGCATCTTTCAGTTATTCTGCTTCCAATCTGTGGAACTCAATTCACCTTTTATTAGACAATCAAGCTCAGTGCACACTTTTAACCCTGTACTGCATGCATTATAAAAGCAATTTCAAAAAATATTCAAACACTTTTCTTGCATAAAATGGTCCTTGATTTGTTTTTTTTTGTTTTTTTTTTGGAGCGGATTTTTAAATTCAAAAACGTTTAAAAGAAATAATGTTGAGGCAACATTATGCGACAATAAGAAGAAATGATAAAGTGTTCCCTGAAGTGGTGAGACCTGGTTTGTGACTGGCTAAACCCATTCCACTGCATTCCATTCTGCAAATTCTCATAACAATAAAAAAATTGTTACTGAATGTTGAACTAAGAGATAGTATGACCAAGTGCATGTGTTTCATTGACTTACTCAAACTCTTCCCTTTATTGTTAACCAAATGATGTCTTTAAATATGTACAATATTATTGAAAAGTGAGGAAAATGAGTGTGTTGTCCTGCGGCAACATTTAGCAGTAGAGGGTTAAGATGCATCTAAAAACGTATCTCTTTAACTTAGCATTTAAAACTCTATGTCTCATAGTATTTATCTTTTAATTTGATCTGTGTCGTTTCCTTATATGATTCTAAATTAATATTAATAATTTCTTGTATTACTGTTAAGCTTCATCACCTGTCTGTAAAGCATTTTGAGCTGCTGGCAGCATTTATATAGCAAAAGTGCTATATAAATGATAATTATTATCATTATTATTAGTAGTAGTAGTATTGTTTTATATTATTAAATTAAAAAAATTCTCATGTCACGGCAATGTATTTTTTTGCAGTTAGCATTGTTATTGCTCTTACCTAGTGCATATAGATATTGTTAATGTGACAAAGTTACCAGTTGACACTCAAACACACAAAAATTTCATGATAAGACAATTTTCCAACTTTAGAACTTGACCGGGAATGTCCATACACCCCACTACTTTTGGCTCATTTTGGCACAACCTCTCATTGGCCATTCATTCACCACCTACTGCAGTGGTTATCACAGTCTCCTGTAGTGTATACTACATTTTTGTGTACTGTCTGGTCTAAAGCTACTTTTACCGTACAAGCCTGATTACTCAGGTCTGATGTTTTGCTCAGATCTATGCGACATTGGCCTTGTTCCCTTGTTCCTATTTGTGATTGAACCATATCTACCATCATTGTGGACCACATGAAACAGTGCATTCTTATTGATCTCATGAATTTTAGACTTTAATACAAAAAAGCTTTCAAACATTTAACATCAAGTGTTAAACTCAAGCAAGTTCCATTTTACCTGGATTTTTGAGCCAGTACATTCTCTGACATACGACGACAACAGCAGACCAAGCTGTTGTTGACATAATAAGTTTATCACTTGCTGATAACCAGCATGCAAACAACTGGTAGCCACAACTTTGAGACATGACAATTTTGATGAGGAACATCTAAATGCACATTATTGCTTGATTTTTCACTTAGATCTGATCTTATTTCCTTGATCCATATCATATCACATCGTTAGATTGGATAATGAATTTACCTCATGAGTGAGTTTACCCCAAGGAAGTTGCACTCAAACTGCTTACAAATTCTGAAATACAGGTAGTACAGTTTCCAAGTTGTGACCTCTCACCAGCCAGAACATTCTCTGCTATCACCTGAACACAACAGAGCAAGCCAGCATCAGTCTATCAAAGCAGATATGCAGTTCTTCACATAATAAATGTACCTCTTGCCAATGACCACATAAATGCAACCAATTGATAGTTACAATGAGATTTTTCTGACTTTACGAGTTGGCGAGGACCAAGCAAACACACCATATGAATTATTATGGAAAGTGGTTTGGAATCTGGAAAGTGGTAGAACTCACCACTGAGCAGGGGAACAATGTTTAAATTTTGGTTCAACTGTTAATAATTCATAAAAAGTTTGGAATCTGGAAAGTGGTAGAACTCACCACTGAGCAGGGGAACAATGTTTAAATTTTGGTTCAACTGTTAATAATTCATAAAAAGTTTGGAATCTGGAAAGTGGTAGAACTCACCACTGAGCAGGGGAACAATGTTTAAATGTGGGTTCATTTGTTGCTAAAGTACTGTAGCTATCTTAGCTTCAGAAAATGGCTTAGTTATCTAGCTCCCTCAAGTCACAACTTAGCCTATAATGTGCCCATACCAACTAGCTAGGATTTACACATAATCTGACAAACAAATTTGGACATCATGAAGGCTAGGATGTGTGTAAGATCAACAAATATAAAACGGATAGTTCTGGTCCGAAAATCTGATTTTATGTTGTAAAATCCACAATATACTCACACCTATGACCACTTCATAACAACTGAATTATGTATTACTATGCCACGGCACCAAAAAACCCTTGTGCTGTTAATGGAATAATCTTTGACTCTCATGCTGCTTGTATGCACCACCGAGCATACTGATGAAGTAAGAACCCAGTTTTTGTTTAAACTAAGGGGCTGGCATCTTATGTTCTTATCTAGAACTAGTGTGGTCAGCTAGCTAACAGGCTAAACAACTCCATTATTAATATCACAGACTTGAATTAACATACTTATGGTATGATTAAACTGTGAAACGGCGGTATATAAGTGTAAAAAAAGTCACTTGAATGAATTACACGCTTCAAATGTTCATATTTCGGTTAGAAGTAGCGACAAACCCAGGCTGAATCCTAAATGGCTCTGTTCTCCCTAAATAGTGTGCTAGCTATGAAAGTTTAGAAATTCTAGCCTCTACAGCCAAATAGTGCATCATTTGTTGAGTATGATTGTGCCTGAGTATTTAAATTCCCACATAGTGCACTATGTAGGGAGCAGGAAGACATCTGAGATTCAGCCCCAGCACAAGAAGAGGGGCCCTCCTGGACTGGTGCTAAATAAGACCCGGTAGTATTTTGGTGACCAAAAAGTGCTTATAAAGCAAAGGTTTTTGCATTAAACAGTGCTGTGTTGTAATGTGTTCATTGCTATACGATAAAAAATGTAAAAATTCATGAAATGAACGCAGTGTACAGCGATGGGCAACCAAACATTCTTATTTAGTGGTACATGGTTGCTTGGCAATGATACCATACTCTAAATGAACACTTGTTTATGTCAATTATGATGAATAATAACTTAAATTATTTTCTGAAAAATTGCGTATTTTATCATATTTTATGTTGGCCACTTCGCGCCATGCCTAACAACACCCTGATGAAATCACAGTAATGCAGTAGTTTTAATATATCACTAAAGGTTTGGTTAAGTAGAAATCTGGGGTGGCCCTAGTGATCTACTACTAGAATAACTGGTGCTAATCTTCAGATGCTCCAGAAGGCCTTAACTGGATCAGGTTTATTATATAAAGGTGAGAACTAAACTCTCCAGGGTGGCACATCACGAGGAGCAGGTGACTTACGTAGGTTATGTACACAGTAAATCAGCTTCATTGTAATTGATTTTTGTGCATGCTCATTCAAACAGCTTCTACACACCATCAGACTGGCCCTTAACTTCTCCTGTGAGACATGATTAGTCCTTCTTCTCTTTCTATGATGCAGCAACAGCAAATGTGGTTAATGATTCAGATCCACAGCACTGCAAGAAACTGAGCTCATGAAGGCTCATGATTACCTGACGTGTTTGGGTCATGTGTGTTGTGTGCAAACACAAAAGTGCAGGGAAGTGTCTCCCAGGACAGGGATTGAAATCCTTGGTTCTTCCTCCTTAACGCGCTGTCTCCTGTCATCCACAGGGCCTGGGGCAGTGTACGGCGGGGGGGCGCCGCTGAGTCCCTGCGTTTCGGGACTGGGCTTGTGGCTGGGCCTCTCCGTCTCCATCCTGATGAAGGTCTAAAACTTCGCCGCCTCGGAAAAGGAGTCTTTAATTACGAACCCATCACTGTGAACAAAAAGAATTATGCATTAACCCAGGAGCCATCGCTACATCACATAATCACCCCCTCCCTCCCTCTCTCCCTCCTTCTCTCATCTCTCTCTTTACCCACTCATCCGCCACACTCATCATCAGCAACTACTCCTCTTCCACACTAGCCAATGCCTCTCCCTCTTCTCCAGTGAAGGTCACCTTTTTCGATGTTCATAGCTGTTATGTGATGACAATACAACGGTAATGCTACGAATGCTAAATGTGAGGCCGCAGTATGTAATGAATGGAATTATAGCTGTTATGTGACGACAATGCGACAGTACAACTACGGTAATGCTAAATGTGAGGTTACGGTGTATAATGACCGGCTGTTGTGTGACTGAGGTTGACCTTTTTTGTGTGACGAATGTCAGTAATGCTACAAATGCTAAATGTGAAACCACAGTATACAACGACTTGAATCATAGCTGTTGTGTGACAACAATGCAAAACGAATGCTACAAGATATAATGGCTGGGTATACAGCTATTATGTGACGACACGATAGGTAATGCTACGAATGCTAAATGTGAGGCTATGGTATATAATGACTGGAAACATTGTTTTCAACTTGTGTTGTCTCGTCTTGGTGTGCGCGTGCTGGGCATGCTGTTCGATGTGGTTGTACATTGGTGACAAAAGTGAAGTTTATGAGGAGGGCGATGATGATGGTGATGATGATGATGATGATGTTGAAGGTCTGGTGACCCTCTCTATACCTGTCTGTGGCTGTTCACCAGCAGGCCCCGTCGGGCCTTCGCCTCTCGGACTCCAGCCCAGCCATCTGAGCGTGCCGAATGATGTCAAAACTCACCCTTACTTCCTGCGCTAAAGGGTCAACAATGGAGGAAGTGGGGGGAGGTCATCGTCTTTCTTCCCTTTCTCTTGCATTTGCTGGAAGTCTTGACCCAGGGCAAAGCATGTGACCCCAGTCCGGCCTTCCAAATCCCTCCTCCTCCTCCTCCTCCTCCTCCGTCTCTTCACTAACACATTACCAACGTTGACCCTTTTTCACCTCCAGTGTAAATATTATATGCAGTAGAGGCAGTCCCATATCGCCAGAAAAACAAAACAAAACAAAAAAACTACACTTCCCATCAGCCTCTCTGTTTCAGTGTTTTCGGCTTGGAGGTTATGTTTCCGGCATCCCCTGTCCATGAAAAGCTGTCGATCACTCTTCCTTGTCGCTTGTTGATAGCATGTACTGGTTAGAGCTGTTTCCTGTTGTGACGTCCATCCAATGCCCCAATGCCCCTTCTTCTCGTCCCACCCCCGCCCCCTCCCGTAGCCCCTCCCCTGCACTGTGTACATTTAATCTGCAAGGTTAACTGCTAATTACTTTTTTGGTGTTAATAATGATGATGACGATGACTATGATGATGTTAATAAGTATTTGAATAGACATGATGATGGTGATGATAATTACATGTGAGGAAAAAAAAAACAAGAAAAAAAAACAACAACAGAGCCACGTGTGCGAAAATATTTTGTACTTTGCTCTGATAAACCGCATTCATTGAAACAGAAAAAAAAATAATAAGTTGAGTTTTTGCAAAGTCTTGTGCTCTATTTTGCCATGACAAGCTTTTTAACAGAAGTGGTTTGACTCGAGTCAAGTCACTCGCAAAGGGAGCAATCAATGAAATGTAATATAATTTGTAATGTGTATGTATTCAAAGTTTGTTTGTTTTTTTGTTTTTTTTTCCTTTTTTTAAGGCTCTGTACAGTGTCGGATGTATGATAATCCATTTTCGCTGTAACATTTTCACGTCCATCCCAATGACACAATCAAAAACTCTCACAGCATTAGTGCCCCCCTTCCCACCCGTTCCCACAACCAGAGAACCAGATTAGTGGAAAATAGAGATGTAATTAGCTAGAGAGTGCGGCTGGCCAGGCGAAGGGACCGCAGCGTCCTCCTCGTCTCTCCATCTGCTGCAGGACAGGGCTCATAAATCAAGCTCAATCCAGCCGCTGACAGGATCCTCTTCAAGGACGGTGGCGCCTCGGCATGCCGAATCTTAGACCCCCACAGACTAATTAACCGCCACTTAACAGCGTATGGCGAAGACGCTGCACCAAGTATTCAGTGGTGTGTAGCTTAAAGGGCCCAACTAATGGAAAAACATATTTTCCTTTGATAAATCAATAGTACATGTCTTTTTTTGACGTTTTGTGTTAAGATGTAATGTTCTCTTGACCACAAGTTTAACTTGAAAATGAAAGTATGAAAGTGGTCCAATGTCTGCTACACATGCTAAGGACCATTTTTTTAAGAAATGAGTTTGAGGTACTATATAAACATTGTTACATTTTCAAAAGTGCAAAAAAACAGCCTCATGGTTGTGATGTCAGAGCCATCAAGATATTTACATAGGACCACAGCAGCCCCATGCATTCACTGAAGTGATGGGGAGTGTCGTTTCTACAGACAATCTGTTGCAGAGTTATAGAAGTGGAAGCGATTAAACGTTGTGCTGTTCCTGGCTGTTGGGAGGGAATGCAGCCTTTTGAAGGATCCATGCCTCTGAAAGTTTGTTTCTTTCCACAGCTGGTAACACTGTTTTGAGTGGTGCTTTGTAGATGATTAGTAAACTTTTAACAGTGTATCAGTAACACATCAGTAAAGAAGCAGTAGCCCAGCATATGAATACATTGAGGTAAATATCTTTACGTTCTTACTTACATTAAGTGGATGTATTGTTGATATGTTACCTGAAGTAGACTTAATATGGTACTTCCAGTAAGCAAAACCTAAGCCTCACCCTAACCAAAAACCTAACCTTAATCACAACCCAAAACCTAATCCAAACCCACACCCTGGCCCTAATCCTAACCCTAACCCTAACCTCAACCCAAAACCTAATCCTAACCCTCACCCTGGCCCTAACCGAATCCTAACTCTCACCTTAACCTCAACACAATACCTAATCCTAACCCTCACCCTGGCCCTACCCCTAACCCTAACCTCAACCCAAAACCTAATCCTAACCCTCACCCTGGCCCTAACCTAATCCTAACCCTCCCCTTAACCTCAACACAATACCTAATCCTAACCCTCACCCTGGCCCTAACCCTAACCCTAACCCTAACCCTAACCTCAACCCAAAACCTAATCCTAACCCTCACCCTGGCCCTAACCTAATCCTAACCCTCACCTTAACCTCAAAACAATACCTAATCCTAACCCTCACCCTGGCCCTAACCCTAACCCTAACCTCAACCCAAAACCTAATCCTAACCCTCACCCTGGCCCTAACCTAATCCTAACCCTCACCTTAACCTCAACACAATACCTAATCCTAACCCTCACCCTGGCCCTAACCCTAACCCTAACCTCAACCAAAACCTATTTCAGTTATCTCCAGGTACAGAATGGTGTCAGCAGTGTGTCTATAACTGCTTGTTGAGGATGTTGAGATGGTCAGTATTAGACCTGTTACATGTTCAGTTACCTCTCAGGTTGAACATCTACAGATATGAACTTGGACACTCCAAATAAAGTGAAAGATGAATTCAGCAGATTATGAACAAATTTCTTTACACAGTTACTTAAAGGACAATCTACTAAATGTATTCACTGCTGCCACATCATTGATATGTTGTTGATATGTTACTGAGAGTCTGTTGAGTGTTTATTTAATCTAAAAAGGACCTCTCAAAATAAAGTGTCACCAAACAGTCTCATTTGAATAATGAGAGATAGAAAAATGGTCCTAAAAATGAATTGTCCTAAAAAAAAGGCAGATCACGGGCCCTTTAATGCTAAGCACCGGCCACTACACACACATATGTATGCAATCTCTCACACTGAACCTGCTTGAAGATCATGAGGACAAGCTGAGCATTCGGTTTGTCCTGTATATAATACAGTATGACACTGTCGTTGCCCAGTGTGTGTCGTTTGTTTAAACCAGCAATAACCCCAAACTAATACATGTAAGAAGTGTGTAGAGTGCAGAGCTGGATTGATCTATTAAGCGTGTGGAGAGTAGTGGCATTATTTTTAAACGTAATCCAGAAAGTGCTGTGCATTTAAATGCAGTCAGGTGATGTGCGTGCTGTAAACCTAATGGAGTGCTGTCGAACTCTCACAGTCCTGAGCTTTGAAACTGATGTTCGCTCTTCAAAGTTGTCCTGGCCTGTATGCATCTTTGTACCTGTGTGATTTCTATCGATCTATCTATCTATCTATCTATCTATCTATCTATCTATCTACCTGTCTATCTATCTATCTGTCTATCTATCTATCTATCTATGATGTACAAATCTGAATTACTATATAGCCACAAATACGACACGCACACTCACAAACCCACACTTGCATGTGTCCCCCACGTCCAAGATTCTGTCCAAAAGCACCTTGTATGGGTCAGTTCGAAGCACAAAAACGGGCCCATATAGTCAACGGTGCGGTCGTCTCACCTCTCCATCTCTCTGTGTGTCCTCGTCCATTCTCCTCCTTCATTATAGCGCCATCTGCATAAAGTTCGACAGTTCATGCCAAACCTGTGCACATGTTTTCTCCTCGAGAAGAAGTAAACAAAAAAATGCTAACAAGTATGTCATGTTTCTCAATGTGGGTTAAAAAAAAGCATGTAAATGTTTGTTATGGGTGGATTTTTAAAAAAATATACATGTAGATATATAAATATATGTGCATCTGAATATTCTGTGTGGGTTGGAGATTGAGGAGGGTCTGTGTCTGTGATGGGGGAAGGTTAGCATTAGCGCTAATGTGAATTCCCACGCAAAGATGAGTAACGGGGGAGATGTTGGGGGTGGGTGAGCTGGAGGTGTTGTTCGGAGGGTGGAGAGAGGTTTCTCACGTGATTGCATTCGTTGTTTCCAGTGAGGGTCAACCAACCCTGACCGTGCGCAGTTAGCTAGCTAGCCTGGGTGAGATGGGCCGACGCTGACCAGACGGTGAACCCCACAGAAAGAGCGCAATGCGCTGAGATGGGCTGACTGCAGGTCAGCTAAGAGATGCATCTTTTATGAAGGCCGACTGGGTGCAGCTAGGGGTGTAAAAATTTATGGCAACAGATGCTGGGCATGTTAGTATTGATAATAATTGACTACAATAAGCTTGAATAAACTGTTTAATGCTCAAAATAAAATTCTCCAGCCAGGGGGGGGGGCATCTGGGTGGGAGGTAGGATGATTCCAAAGGCCTGAAGAAACAGTTTGTTTTTTATTATTGCATGTGATTTTAGGTTTACTGGAAGATTCTTAAGTAAAACGCTTCATTTATTAAATAATAATAAAAGACTAATTTTAGATTCAGTATCTACAGCAATGCATGTTGCATTCTTTCACCTCTACAGTGGACCTTCAGTGATTTAGCTCATTCATTTTTAATTCAAATGATGCCACCACCTTGGCAGCCCTGCTATAAACAAAACAATGTTTCTATGTTTTTCCTTATAAAATAATAGTATGTCTTCTGTGTTTGTGTTAAGATGTAATGTTCTCTCAACAACAAGCTTAACTTGAAAGTGAATGTATGAAAGTGATCCAATGTCCACTATATAGGCTAAGAAACTTTTTTTTTACTGTGTAAACATTGCTACAGCTTCAAAACTGCAAAATAGCCTCATGGTTGTGATGTCACAGCCATTAATACATTTACATTTGACCAACCATTTAGCCTACAGCAGTTATATTTCCAATGAAGTGATGCAGAGTGTTGTTCATGCAGACAGTCTGTAGCAGTTATTGGAATGGAATATGTGGGGAAAACACAATTAAACATTGTGCTGTTCATGGCTGTCAGGAAGTAAAAGCAGTTTACAAAGCACCCACGGATCCTCTAGCCTCCCCTTCTATCTTTTCCGTCGGGATAAAGTAGGAATTTAAACCGGAATATCTAGACTTTTGCTTGGACAGCCAAAATGCAAACATTACAGTTTCAGTCAGTCATGTACAGTAATATTGCTTATATTCATTTTCACAGCATGCTATATGCTAAGTAATACTTACAGAGCTATAGGGTTATGGAAATTTTAATGTTGTGGCAGGTTCTGTGAAGAGAAAATGAGGTGAGGCGATTGGCCTACACATGAAATTTTATAAGGAACCCAAAATTTTAAATGTAAAAACGCCAAAAAAGTGTTTGCTGTACTATTTTTATTCATTTAATCATCTTATTTTCTTAATTAATTGTATAATACCAAAATAATCCAGCTGAATCATGATAAAAATTTGCCCTTGTTTTCTAGAGAACTGGTCGGAGATTTACACCCCTAGCTGCAGCCTAAACAGCCTTGAACTAGCATTGATTTTTCCCGCTGCTTGGGTCCACACTGATTTAAAACACAATCAGTGTGAATATCCCTCCCCCTGAGCTTAATCCCACTTCCACTGAGACTGATGGATGGTTCACGCACCAGGGACGATTCACAGGGCTTCTTTTTTATGAACCAAATATGAAGCCATTGATCTGCAAAGTCAGTTGACCCCCCCGGCCACCAGGGGGCAGTGCCAAATCACACTTGCTTTCCTCAGGCCCTTGGGCGTTCTTTTTTGTATATAGCTTGGTAGTTGTTGGGCAGATGATCCTCATGCAGTGCTAAGAGGAAGCTAACTGGGTGTCCGTGGCGTTCTATGTTACCGTGAATGGTGAGGTGCTTCAGTTGTTCACTGTTTCTCTGGTTACTTTCACTCAAGGAAAAACCACCGCCATGACCAGGCGGCTCAGTCGAGGGGATTTCTTTTAGTAAATGCTTTTAACCAAATTTCAGACGTAAAAAAGTTCAAAGCAATTGCTCATACATCTATACTTATAGGGCTTAGTGTAGAATGATTGCCTGACTGTGAATGTGCTATTAGGCCTTTCAGAAGCATCAGTAGGAGATTTCACCTTAAAAATGTCTCTGTGTTTGCAGATTATTGATCATAATTATAATTGTCATGATTGCTTATAATTCATGGTCATTTTTTCTGCATTTGTATGCTTAGATGACAACATTATGTGCTTAAATGAATCATATATATTTAGATTTACTTTTAGAATAAGTTCATAAATTTAAAATTTAACAATAAGTTTATAAGATGAGTAATAATTTAATATTTTTAAAGAATGATTTACTTTTTAAACATGCCGGTGCCTACTGATACTGTGTATCCTAAGGTTTCTGTCTGAATCAGTAAATATAACTATGTAGACATTAAAGTTAGATCAAGCCAGTATTAGAACCAAGATAAACATACAAAATAAAAGTGGATTTTTACCAATGAAACAAAAATGTGGAGTTACTTATCATATTAATAGATTATTTTATTCAGTAATAATATCTACACTGCATATTTAAAGAGGAATTTCTACATAGTTTTCAAAATATCTGCATAATTAAATGATTAAGATGTAAAGGCATTAAGGGTGTGTGTTCACATTGGTGGTGATAGGAACCAGACACCTGAAGCCCTAAAAGCTCCCTCGCAGGAATTTATTATATGAAATAATTGCAAACACATTGCTCGGGGTCCGAGACATGCCTGACATTTTCCACCAATTTTGCAATCAATTTTGGCTGTCGGAACAAAACCTTGTATCTTCATTTTTGTTGTTTTTCAGTTTTTGACATAATTTGAAAAGGCCTGTTGCCCTTTACATTGTTTGTTAATTTCATGATGAATTGACCAAAAGAAACAACCCAAAATGATTTGGAAAAAAGTCTGGTTCCATTGACTTACATTAAAAGCAAAGAGGGTTTTTTCCTTCTGTAAAGTTATCATTTTGGAGATAGAAAGTTTTGTTCCGACAGCCGCAATATTTTTTAACACATGAAGAGCAGACAGTACAGCAAATAGACTTTTTTGTTTTTTTCCACTCCTTATGTAGGTTCAC